TAAAGGCCAGATTGATTTTGGATGTGTCTACACATTATTGTACACAGTTAAAAGCATCTCATGGATAAGATCTCCTCTCTGCTCCTGAGGGGTACCAGCCACAGATCTCAAGTTTGCTAGAAGAAACCTCAAAGCTGATTGCGGCCTGAGGCTCCTGGAGTCAGCGAGCCCTGCTCAGGGCAAGAGGGGAGTCAGTCACTCTGGCGTGTCGGTACTAACATTGCCAGGCACTGCAGGCACCAGCAGGCCTGGGAGGCTGGCCTGCCCCACCACACAGAGATGAGTGAGACCAGCACCCAGGCCAGCAATAGGATGGGGCTACAGCCTCCCTTGTGCCCCTCCTAGTCACCACCTGCCCCCAGGCATGACCCCTCCCTGGGATAGGACTCTCCCCTAGGTGAGTTTAGCCCGCTTCTGACGTCACATGAACAGAACCCTGCAGGATACAATTGTGTCCGCTGCTGTCCCCTCCCCATGATGCTTGCATGAGTCATGCACATAGATGCACGTGCATGCTGAATTTTCCTTCTTGCTCTCATGGTGTGGGCAGATACACTACCCTCTCTTCATTCTTGTTTATGGACATGGGGTAATTTCTTCCACGTCCCATGTGTTATCATTAGGTAGCACTGCTGGGATTGACTGAGGGTGTTCTCTCGGTGAACACGTGTCCATGTTTCCACAGGGCCAACGTCGATCTGTGAGCGGTGTGTTGGTGTCTGGGACTCGGAGGCACTGAGCTTTCCAGACCGTGGCCACCCCATCCTGTGAAACTGGTGTGGGGAGGAAGGGTGGCCCCCAACAGAGGGCAAGACTGATCCAGTATGAGTCTTCACTTTTTGCTTTATTCCAAAAGGTAAGTGTCCAGAGCTGGCCGTGACATTGTCAATTTGATTGCTGCTTAAATTCCACATGAACAGTTACAACACTCAGATGCTGAGACCTGTGGCTCTCTGCAGGCTAGTTTTGTATATGTTCAGAAAGCTGGGCACATTACAGAAGACACAGGAGTGTGGACAGCTGCAGGGTAGAGACGCTCCTCCTCATTAGTGGTGGTCTTCTAATACAGACACGGATGCTGGGCTGCCCCCACTGCCTGTCTCCACGGCAGATCCTTGCCTGGACGTTCCACTCTCTTTCAAGTGCTGCACTAACACGTTTCCCTGACCACCTGGGCAGACCCCGCCCACCACCCAGCTCTTCAAGAGACTTAAGTATTTGATTGTCTGCATCTTCTGCATCTTACTGAGAGACACCACTCACATGTGAGCTTCCCTGAGCTCTACTCAGTAAAGACCCCATTGCCTAAGGGTTTCCGTGTCGTCCTCACTAAGCTGGGATCATCCAGACTACCTCAAAGCATTCTCATACCAACATGTTTTCTTTTTGTTGAGAAGGAATAACACAACTTCTGAAAGATGAGTCTGCTGTGGATGACCCCGAGTCAGACCCTGCCAAGGATCAGAGGTGCCTACCTTCCCCTCATTTCCAAGGAAAAGCACGGCTGGGGGGAGCGTGAGCCAGAGAGAGGCCGGATGGATTCCAGATGTGCTTTCTATACTAGCGATTCACTTTCTCTACCCATGTCAAGTCGAAAAATAAACAAACTATAAAAGGAAGAAAAAGAGAAAAAATGAAGAAAATGTTTCCACAGTCTGGTCTCCTTCCCAACACCCCCCCTCCTCCCCCGCTTTCTCTCTCCACATAAAAGAAAAGCACAATAAGATAGTTAGAAACTTCTCTTGGTCAGATGCAGGATGCTGTGTTTTTAATAGGCATGTATTCCCAGGGAAATTAACTAGTTCATCCTCCAAACTGAATTAAGACACCAAACATACGCCAACAAGCAAAATTTCTTGGAAAGCAAGATTTTTAAAAATTTCATTTAAAATAACTTAGAAAGGAAGTAGTGAGTCGGCCGTTCACGGCTCCAGCAATTCCTTTGCTAATGAGTATTTTCCCTTGCTCTGTATTTCTTGGGTGACCTCACTCTGCTTTTGGAGATAGTCCACTGCAGAATGCGTGCTTCACACACCCTGCCACACATGCCCGGCCCATTAATGCAGCTTCCCTGAGAAATAACAACTGTACAGACAAACCAGGTAAGGGCTTCATATCTTTTCTCCCTTTTCTTCTTCAGAGCATGGAAGTCAATGCACTTCTCCGGTTAGACCTACTTTTTCCCGGTGGCTTTTTCATAAGTCCTTCTTTGTCACAAACAAAGCTGGGACATTATGGGCACAGTCCAGGTAACCCTAGAGATGGAGACTGTGCCCCAGAAAACTCAGTCCCTGTCCCCAAGTATCTGTCTCCGTGAACGCCGTCCTGAGCTTCCAGACGTGTGTGGAGAGGCCAGTGCGTCTGATCCAGGAGGTGTCTGACCCCCTTGTCTGTCCATGACTCTTTTTAAACGTTCTCCGTTCCGCTGTTTCTTCATGATGGCATAGGATTAAATGGCTCTTAAGATTTCCACAGGGATGAATCCACAGGGCTGTGGAAACAGGTTCTGTCAGACAGCTAAAGGCACCTTCAAGTAAGAGGCATCCTGTCCACAAAGTCTATCTGAGATCCTTCCTATCCCTTTCCAAAGTGGCAGTCTTACCTGGTGACTCGACATGTGTGCCACCTTGCACCATGGACATGGCACACATAGCCCCCATAACAGCATCTGCCTTCTGAATGTACACAGGAGGAGACTGAGGCTGGGGGTTGGGGGTCCATTCCTTGTCCTTAGTCACAGAACTTGGAAGAGACTGAGCTGGCGGGTGTCCTTGCCATCTGATTCCAGGACGTCACATTAGGGATGAGCTCTTTGGGAAGCTGCCACCTTGACACTGGTTCTTTGCCTAGATGGTGACAGGAGATTCTCTAGCATGTTTTAGAGACAAACTGCCTCATGCTCCCATGCCATCACAATCTTAGAATGCCATTCTAGGGGCACTGAAATATCTAGAAAATTCTGAAGCCAGGAAAATGGAGTGGCATCTTCAAGGCCAAAGATCACCATCTACCTCCTGAGGAGTAGACCCTCATGTCGCTGTGTGAGCTGACCCCAGCCCGGCCTTCGGGCAGTGAAGATCCACTCACTGGGCACCAGTCTGCACTGGACAATCTCTTCACGATTTGACCCAACTGGCCTATCATCATGTCCCTTATAGACACAGCTTCAATTCCTCAAAAATAAGATTCAAAAAAGAGAAGAAGATTTTATGCCTAGTAGCTATAACAGTAACAACAGCTGAAACGTGTTATTAACTCAAACTAGATGCGATTCCACTCAGTCTATTCTTTTCCTTTTCTTTCAAACATTATATTATCTCCAAAAGCTTAAGGAAAATCTTGAGGCAATTAATTTGGCAGAAAACATACGGCAGAGGAATAATAGGAAATGGCTTTAAAACTGATAAGAGAGGAATTAGGAAGTCAAATATGAACCCGCAGCACCCTTGTTCTGGCTAAGGTAAACAGACTGCAGAAGGCTGGTGGCCCAGCTCTGGTAACATTTGGGAAACAGTACAAAGTCCTGGCAGTTGAACGGTTCTACAACAGGGCAACCTCAGATATTCCAAGATTGTGGCATGCTCAAATTCTCTCTCTCTCTCTCTTTTGTTTGGTAATAAAAATATATACATACAGTATAGGTATTGAGGAAGATGAAAGAGATATCACGAAATCAAATTAGTGTCATAATTTCCAGAAAGAGGAAAACCTGTCCTGAATTTTGAGAAATAAGATCTTTAGGAACAAGAAACTATGTAAAGTTTCTCCTATAGGAAACCATAGTTTCTACCCTTTGCATATGGTAGAAAATCAGGGACTCATGCATTTGACAAAAATGCACAATGGTAAAAAGGAAAATCACATTTTCAAAAATGAAAACTGGTTGAGAAATCATTCTCTCTAAATCTTAGGGGAGGCTCTTAAGGGCTAGCTTCAGTTTGGATCTCTGGTGTGAGGTGACAGAGTGACTCTGGAGGCCTAGAGTGAATGTTTACTGGTTTGTTGATGAAAAAAGCCTGATGTGCGATTCTTCTGTGGCAACAAAGTCATTCATCCCAGCCCAGAGCTCTGCATCCATGAAACAATACTTTACAGATATGAACACTTCCACAACTCCTCAAGCACCCCCCACCCCCAGACACACACACATGCACACACACATACCACACCATCACCACCTCCTCAACCAACATCAGCCCTGGGAATAGCCAGCTATCCTTGTTAGCCATATATCTGCAGCACATAATCCTTCCCTTGTACTTTCTAGGAATTACATTTTTCTTAACCATGCTTGCAAGATTTTTGTCTATGAATAAAAAATATTGAAAAGATAAATTATGAGTATGTGGTTATATACAAAGTCTGTGACTTCTAATGTCCAGATTTTAGAATGACGCCTAATTCTGGAGGTCTCAGAGGTACAGCAAGGAGTGGGTACTATGTACAGGGTGAGTCTCCACTTTAAAATAACCTTCCAAAGAGCTCTCTCTGTTCCCGTAACTCCCCTTTCCTTATTGTAAGGGTCAAAACGAAGTGTGTTCCCTTAAAAAATCCAACAAGAAGTTCCTCTCTTATTTCTAAATATAAAAACACCACAAAGAAATTGGGAGTGTCCAAAGCCAGAAAGTCAGAGGAAGAGACACACAAAGACAGAGAGAAGAGAGAGAGAGAGAGAGAAAGAGAGAGAGAGAGAGAGAGAGAGAGAGAGAGAGAGAGACTGACTATTCAGAGACTCAAAAAGCCCAAAGCCCCTTCTCTAGCCATTATCTCAGTTCTGAACACAACGTTCTGACTTTCCATGGAACTTCATTGTTGCATTGTGGGGACTTGTCTTCCAGCATCGATTCTGACGGCCCTAATTGCCTTGTTTGAGAAATGTTAGTAAAAAACTAATTTTCTGGCGAAAATTGTTTGAAAGAGTGATTTTTCTCAGGCGAACGACCACAACCCTCTCTCACGTCCATCGTCCCCAGGCCTTGGCACTGAGGGCGCCTAACTTTTTAATGGTCCAAGGAAAACGACTGATGTAATTTCTCCACCAACAGCCTCTCCACTTTCATCCAGGTATTCAGCTCCAGCCAGTGTGGACGCTGCCGGTGCAGCGGAAAGGCCGCCTTCGCGTTCCCGCAGCGGCTCTGGGGGAGGGGTGCTGATGTGGAGCGCTCCGGCCGCCGCGGCGCGCCCAGGTGCCTGTCGCGCCGGGGATCGGTGGGGATTTTGTCAGAAATGAGGACAGGGTCCGTCGGCCCCCAGCCCCCCACCCCGGTTCTGCGTCCGCGCTCCCCGCTCGGGCCCGCCGCTCACCTCCGTCGGCTGAGGGCGCTGGGGCCACCGGCATCCTGGCGGGGGGCGCGCGGCGGTGCCTGGGCGCCCGGTCCTGCGCTCGGATGCCCGCTGGGCTTGGAGGTTCGGCAATCTCGGGGCTCGCGACGAAGTCGTCCCCGGGCCTGGGGTCCTGCTCCGACACGTCCTGCCGCCGCCTTCGGGTTCCCGGGTCCCCGTCCCCTGTCCCCAGAACCGGCTTCCTCGGCCTCTGCCTGAGCGAGTCAGAGACCAAACTTTTCCAGCGGCCCGCCGGGGCGGGACCCGCGCCCCGCCCCTCCCCCGAGCGTCCCCGACTCCCGCCCCTGTCCCCGCCCCCGTCATCCCCGCCTCCCGCCCCCGATCCTCCCGCTCTCCACCTCCCGCCCAAGCAGCCTGGTCTCCCGCGCCCCGCCAGCCGCCACCCTGCACCCCTTCTCCCCCGCCCCCCGCCAATCCCCTAGGGTCCGGCTCGCCCTTCGCCCCCTGTCTTCAGGTCGGCCTCCAGACCCTGTCCTCATCCGGCGAGCTCCAGGTGCCCACCCCGGGCGCCCCGAGACCCAGCAGGAACAGGCGGCGAACCGGGTCCGAGGACTGGGCTTGGGCGGGCGCCTGCCGCGCTGACGGCGAGGGTTTGGGCCGATTCTTAATAGGATTAATACTATCATTACCGTTGTCCCGATCCTGACCATTTCCTTCTGGAACTGTCCGACCACCGGCTTGGGGTTGTAGGTGGGCGTCTGGCGCCGGACAGTGTTTTTGTTTGGGCTTCTCGGCCCTGGTCCCCTCCGGCGCCTGCCTGGTCCCTCTCTGCGCTCGACCCCCAGGCACGCAAACGCTTGGGCTCCAGGCGGGGGCGGCACTCTCCCCCCAGCCCCTGCTGGTGCACCAGCGCCCACCCGGGCACAGAGCAGCGTCCCTCCTAGACCGGCAGCCGGCGGATCTCAGCAGACCCCCATGCGACACCCATCCTCATACGGATCTGCCTCTTTTGTGTGGGAAAAAAAAAAAAAAAAAAAAAAAAAAAAAAAAAAAAAAAAGGAAAAAAGAAAAATCCATGTGAAGGTTTCAAACAGAAGAATCCCAGGGAGGAAACTGCCAAATTTTCAGTCAATGGCAAAGGCCATGATTGAGCGAACACAGAAGCAACCGTAGAAGCTTGGGGAGAAAGACGAAAAAGAAAGAAAAAGGAGAAGGAGGAAAAGGAGAGAGGAGAGACGTGGAGGAAGACGACGCAAAAGGAAGGAGGAAGGAGAGGCCTGTTTTGGACTGCGTGTTCCTGGGCCGGCAGAATTGGGGCCGTAGCTCAGCCGCACAGAGGTGGGGATGCTTCGCACAAAGGCGGCTGGTTACTTTTTGTCTTTTGCCCTCCGGCCTCCAGAGGAGGAACCCAGCGCATCCTTCCCTTGGAGCAGGGTGCATATGCTTACTTGGCGTGCAGTTTGAGCCGTGAAGGGCCCCTCACATACTAAGGCAAGAGTGGAAGTTGGCTGCGCTCCTGTTCCCTGCTGAGAAATGCAAGCCCTCAGCAACTGAGCTGAAGGAGGCAAGCGACCCTTCCCGTGGAGGCTGTGGCCCCGGGAGGTGGGGGACTTCCCAGCGTTTTCACCTAATCCACGTTGCAGGTGCTACTGTGGAGCCCTCCGGCACTGTAGCCTTCCAACGTGTTCAGAGTGTCGGTGCGCGGCTCTGAGAAGCCACTTCTGTCCCAAGTTGCATATGAGCCTACGTGTGCTTCCCTTTGTTGGACTCCTACAGCATCAAGTCAACAGAAGAAGGGAGCAAAAGAAGGGAACACGTGGCATCCTCACAGTCGAGGTAACAGCACAGCATACTGTGGCCACTGTGTGTGTAGTTACCCAAACGGTCAGTGAGTTCATCAACAAATCTGTTCAATTCATTGCTTCCCATGATGAAAAATTCACTGCTAGGGTACTGGTTGAGGGTTGTTTTAACTGGCACCCAGGTCTCTGTTCCTGGAAAACGTCTATAAACCTGATATAATAGAGTAACCTTGAGGCGTGGTCATGCCTCCAAAACTAGTCTCCGAAATTGGCCTCCAGACGCCCTGAGGAGTAAATGTGGCTCTCATGCTTTATGGCAGGTTTCTCTGCCATAAAGAGAAACCCAGGAGAGACCCAGGATCTGACCACGGCATCAACTGAAATTCCTCTCTCAGTGACGTTGATGCTTCTGAATATCCTTGATGGTTTATATGAACCTATGAGCATCAATAGAAATCTAATTCTGACGAAAGAGATGCTTGGCAAAATGTTCCAGGTGGGTCCTGCGTCATTCTGTAATGTGACTGATATTTCTGAGAAATTCCTGCCATGCATTTCTTAAACATTTATGGAAGTATAACATACGTAGAAAAAGTGCTCAAATCCTCAGTTTCCTGCTTTTCTAGTTTTCAGGAACTAAACACACCCAGGAATCAGTTCCTCAGTCAAAAATAGAAACTGACCAGGGCCATAGAACCCTGCTTGCTCCCTCTTCTTGCCATTGTCTCCTCCCAAAATAGCCACTGAGGCGCCCTTTCCCTAAAGATCCCTGTCCTCAGTGGGTCTCCCCACACACAGGCCTTTCACTTACCCACTGCCCCACCCCATCCACTGCCCCTTCCCTGAGCCTTAAAGGTCAGTCACTAGACCCTGACAAGGAGCCCTCCATGCCTCGTAGAGACCATCTCCTCTCATGACTCCTTTCGAGAGAAACAGCCCTCTCTACAATTCTGTTGAATAAGTCTCCCCCTCTGCATTCTGGTTCACAAGGGAAAGCAATTTCACAGAAGAATGCCAGCTCATAAACTTAGAAATGGGAGAATGAGGAAACCCCTATTTTGTAACGCTTAGTGAAATAATTAAGCTAGCCAGTGTGTACTAGTGGGTGTCAAACCCTTAGGCGAAAGTGTGCAGGTGAACTGGTGCTAATTAGAAAAAAAAAAAAAAAAGGTTTTCCATTTTTCATTTTTTTATGGAGACATCTGGTTGTACCTTAAAGGAAGATCAAACTCATTGTTACTAGTACTGACTTAACCTAGCATTATGTGATACAAAAAGAAACACACAACATCATTGGTACTGTGTGCTTGCCAAAGAGGTTTCCACAGAATCAATCGCAAAGCCTCTAGGCTTTACTTCCAGTTTACAGGAAAGAAGAGCTTGAGCAACAAGTTAAATGACACCATGGGAAACAACTCGACTCTTAGAGAGTGTGGGCGTTCTACAGTCAGTTGCCTGACCTCTTCCAAAAAATCAATGTCAAGAAAAAGAGTGAGGGATTCTTCTGGTATGGGAACAGTTGAAAAGAAGCATAATAATAAGCACAAATCCAGATTGACTCCCAGCTGGACAAACCAGCACAAACACACACACACACACACACACACACACACACACACACACACACACACAAACATTTTGGAGGAAATTACAAATTAAAGGGGATATTGAATGATATTATAGAATTTTTGGCAATGTCTTTAGGTGTGATAATGGCACAATGTTTATTTAGGAGAATGGCTTTAATTTTAGGAGGTGCTGAAGTATTAAAGGGTAAAATGTCTTGATGTCTAAAACTTATTTTAAATGGTTCAACACAGTACGCGCACATCAGCTGGTAGGACAAAATGTTGGTGATGATTGGTTCTAGGTGGATACAGGAAAGGGATTGTACAATCTGTTCTTCTTTGTATCTGTACTTTTTCCATCATGAAAATTTGGAGAAAGATAAAATGGCAGGTACTAAACAACTAAAACATTTCTCTACCTGTGCGCTCAGACTTTAAATCAAATCTAGGCTTATGGGAATAAAATTAAAAGATACTATGAGTTATATTTGTATACTTTTGAAAATCATGTGGCTTAAACTTAAATATTTGAATCAATGTATTACATATCATAATTATGTAATACGAGCTTACAAGCTTTTTTAACTTAAAAAATGAAATGCATTCTACTTTCCCAACAAATTAGTGTCCACAGCCTGGTGAGCAGGTGCAACATAGTTAAAGAACATGCAGTTTTAAGATTCTAACTCAAAGCGAGCCCTTTGTCCAGCAGAACCAGTGTACTGCTGAAGAGTAGCGTTGTCTCGGAAGAACAGAGCAAATGCATCTCCTTTCTCCCTCCCTCCTGCCCTCCCAGCCTCGGCTTCCAGGATCCCAGGGTGCCTCCCCAAGTTTCTGGGTCTGAGTTAATCTGCACTATCTCAACTCTTAGCTCTATTTAGTGCAAAGGCTGCAACAGGCTGTCAATATCTGAGTAAATGTGCATGCGTGCTATTTTTTTTGTTTGTTTGTTAGTCTAAGGCCTCTTCTCAGGAAAATGTGTGTTGGTCATAGTTTGCACACATGAGCTTGACCCCTCAAGCCCTGAAGGTTTCCAGAGGAGGAGTGGGATCTAGCAGACAGTTATGATGGTTAATTGTATATGTCCACTTGACTGGAGCATATGTGGTCAGACATTATTCCGAATGTGTCTGTGAGGGAGTTTCTGGATGAGATTGACATGTGAGTCAGTAGACTGAGGATAGCAGATGGCCCTTCCTGGTGGGGTTGGGCCTCACCCAAGTAGTGGAGGGCATGAGTAGACTGTTACTGAAGACAAAAAGCCAACACTCTCCTTAGTTAGAGAAAAATCTCTAACCAGGAGAATCCTCACAGGACTAGAGCTGGGACCTTGGATCTACAGATGTTGGATGTGTCAGCCTCCATAATTGCATGAGCCAATTCCATATAATAAAGACTTTGTGTGTGCTACAAGAATGCCTCCCATGGGTTCTGTTTTTCTGAAGAACTCTGACTGATGCAATGGCCCCAGGGCAAAAGCAGAACCTCACAGATATGGCTACTGTGATAGAAGGGAGCCCGGGGCCACATTGGGGACAAGCGGCTTGTGGTCAGTCTGTCTGCACCTCACCAGATATCCCAGAGCCATTTTCTCTCTGTTGGCTTGCTCTACACAGAACTCGGAAGAAATCACCTTAAAATATTGACGTGGATGTGGATTTGCGGAATGAAACTTGGCCTTTTGTACAGTAACCCTGTCTTGACCCAAATGAAGCCTTGGACTCATAGCCAGAGCTCTTTAGGGAGGTGCGTTCATTTGGTGACAGAGATGTCTACCAGTGCTGAGTCTCAGTTCCTCCACTGTGGCTCTACAGTGATTATGTCACCATCTCCCCATCATTTAGCCCTTAATGTGTCTTCACCTCCAACCTCACGGTCAGCCAGGGACCATCAGAAGCTCCAGGAACTGTTCTTTGTACATTTCACATTTTATAAGGATGTTTGTAATATTCAGAAACATAACTAGTTGTGTGTGTACGTGTGTGGGGTGTGTGCGTGTGTGTGTGTGTGTGGGGGGGTGTCTGGTGTATGTGTGGGATGTGTGTGTATGGTGTGTGTGTGTGTGTGTGTGTGTGTGTGTGTGTGGTGTGTGTATGGTCTATATGTGTGTGCCTGTCTCTGGGTGTGCATGTGTGTGTCTGCATGTTTGCAAGCGTGTGTTTACTGAAGAAGGGGGAACGTGTCTGCCCCTCTGTGGAAGATGCAAACATGGCCCCCGAGGCCTCTTTTGATCTCCTGCTTGGCTTTCTGCTTGCTCTGAGCTCTGCCTTCTCCATCCTTTCCCTGATTACATCTTGCCCAGGGAGAGTTCATGTTACCCTCAGGTGCAAGTTAAACGGC